CTGACCAATGCTCCAAATTGAAATGCAAGTTGTCGCCGACGCCTGAGGAATCGACGCGAACGACGGGGGAGGGTTCTGGCTGGATTGGTTGTCATTGTTGTTGTTGTTGTTGTTGTTGACAAATGCAAAACCATTTGCCAAATAAATAAGCAGCTCAACGAAAATAAATATGCTTTCGCCACGCGCATTTACACTCAATAAAGATGCTGCCTTCAGTGGGGACAGATGGGCGATGCGGGAGTCAAAGGATAAGTCTGGCAATGCCAAGCATAAAAATTGTATTTTAATGCGCGCGCATAAATAACACAAACAGGACACACACACACGCATGCACACACACACACCCGTTGGCATTCACACTCTGGGAGCCACGCTCTGCCATTTTATCAAATGCTGAATCCAAGCTGGAAGCCAAAGTCGCTGTCACTAATTTAGTGGGCTTCCGTGGCAGTGCCGAAAAATCAACAGGAAACAAACACAGCAAACGACGCTGATGATGATGATGATGATGATGATGATGTTGATGTTGATGCTGCTGATGGTGATGGCAACACCGTTTAGTGGCAGTGCCACGCCTCGCTGCACAGGCGGCGTTGACAACATCAGACGGGAAAAAAATTAACCATTCGCCGAGTGGGACATGAAGTATTCGAAATGCCCTTTCATTCATAAATACTTACATAGCTTTACTCTTACTATCGATCAGTTGTAGGAGCTTAGTAGTATCGATAACTATCGATATGCACACAATAGGTAATTGAAATGGGTCTCTATTGGCAAAGTAGATAATAAATTAATTTTATTTGTCAATTAGAGGCAATCTTATCCATCGTAATCATGTCTATGAACAGATTTTAATTTACAATTCGTATTATACTAGTTATTATCGTGCATGTCATATCATATAATAAACGAATCTTGATTGATTTACTCGCCTCCGATCTCATTGAGATTTTCGTTTCCAATTTGTTAATCAAGACATGAAAGATTCAATTTCAATTTTGTCCTACATATTGCTCAACCGAGCATGCCCAGATTAGTTAGAGTATGCATGGAAAAAAAGATGACATTGAATGGAATGGAGTGGAAAGTAAACCGGAACGATATGGGCGCCCAGCATCTTCATCATCAGGCGGCATATGTTGGCATTGGGCTCGGAGTTGGCGTTGCCGTTGGTGTTGGTGTTGGTGTTGGCGTGAGGTGCTCATCAATAAAATCATCGAGGTCATTAAGTGGATTAACTGCAGCCCATCAGAAGCATGTGGTGCCACAGCACAAAACGCAAAATGCCAAATACGGACATAGTCGACGAGCGAAGGGAACTCACACAGCTAAACGCACACACACAGATACACACGCGTACGCACACACACAGACACACACACACACAAATACGAACACTAAGAAATGGTCGTCATCTTTGGCTTTTGCTTTACACTTTGCACTTCATAACAGACAATGGATAAGCACCGTGGAAATATTCAATTAGAAAGTGAAGAATGAAATTGTGGAAGAAAATTATAAAATATAATTCATTTATTATTTATTTAAGAGTTTTATTTCTGAAGAACCCAATATATCGGTGCGATATAGAATAAGATTCGATTTATGAAATATACACTTTATATTTAAAACATACTTTAATCAGTATGCCTTGAGATATTATATGATGATTATGATTAATTTACCAAATATATTAAGATAAAAAATTTTTACGGTAAATCGTTTTGATTAAAAGCAAAGCGGTAAACCATTTGAAGAATCTCATTATGTAATTAAAAAAAGTTTTTTTTGCATAAGTTGTATGAACATAAATTTCTTTATATATATAATTTTAAGGTACCTTTTGCAAAGTTTGATAACTTGGAACGAAATTTAAAGCTATTTTTATAGAAGAAAGCTACTTTATGAATATAATGATTTAATGTGCATGTATATTTTTTCTCAAGGTAAGCCTAGAAAAAATTTGTCATACTTCAGCTAAAGGGATAAATGTAAAAGAAATACCTTGGATTGGACAGATTCTCTAGAATAGAACTTCAACTAGAGGGGGTAAATTGGGTTTCCAGACAATTTTAATGGAGAATTAAAGCCCATTGTACCCAGTGTAGCAAAGGCTCTGCTTGTTTGTTCAGCAGCATATCTATATATATGTGTGTATGTGTGTGCGTCTGTTTGTGTTAGTGCTATTCAGTCAGCTTTTCTTGCTAGCATCAGAGCAAAAAAGAAGTAGTTGAAAGGGGGCAGAGCGGGCGGCAGTGGCAACGGGCGGCAGCAACGGCTGCTTGTCTTGTCTTGGTTCCTGTTGTTATTGACATGTACGAATTAGGTTAAATTTATTTACTGTCAGTTCAGTGAACTGCAAATGGTTTTAGTTTATTAAATTTAGCCAAAGGAACGGAGTTGGCAATCTGTTTTAAGTTTGTTAAATGCCAAAAAATCAAGATTTAGATTGAGTTGTCAGCGCAAAAATTCATTGAGCTGCACTTAACCGCTCTCTCTCTCTCTCTTACCACCTCTCTCCCTTTCACTCCCCTGGTGTCCTTCTCTGGTTTTCAACTTTTAATTTACATTGAAAAGCAGCTGCAAATTAATTTCAAAGCTTCCGCCGTGAGGGCAAAACTCAATTGCGGTTTGATTAATTGTGCTGTACTTGAAACTCAGCGCTTACACACACACACACACACACACTCATACATAGTCGATCCGGCACTCAAGTTGCATTAATCAGCACAGCTCTGAACGCTGCTCATTTATTTGCAAAAAGGCAAATGAGGAAAAGCAAAAAATAAAGTACGAAAAAAAAAAATGGTAAACGTAAACGTGGATTTTTCAAAACCACTTTGGCAAATCGCAGTCAAAGTTAAGCTGAGAGCAAAAGCGTGGTAAAAAACATAAACAGCAGCAACTATTTTTGACTAGTCGATTCAAAAATACTCTTGCAAAGAATTTCAAGCTGAAATTATTGTTGTCTTGACTCTTGCTGAGATAGAGAGTTAACATAAATATGGAATATAAATTCGAATCTGTGAATATGGATTTAGACCGTTCTCTGTAAATAGCTCGATTAGTAGTAATCTCTAAATTTGTAATGCTATTCAAACTAGATTTAGGTTAACAAAGAGACAATTAAATACATGCTGTTATATATATACATACAGTGATCCAAGTGTAACAACAATATAATGAAAAAATCTAAATATTTCCTTGTAAAAGACTAATTCAAAAGCGAGTATATTATTTGTTATAGACAAAGCTAAGCTCAGCGCATATGATAACAGGGTTTCATTTCGTCAAATGAAAGTACTTGCTACATTCTTCTTTCAGCTGTTACCAATCTCTTGAATAAATAATTATACCCACAATTGTAGCCATACACCAAATAAATAAACGCGTCCTTGGTGCATTAAAAGCTTTGGCAAAAAGTTTGTTAAGCAGCAGCGCAAAAAGCGATTGCTCTAGGAATCAATTAAATTGAAATTACGCATACGCCATGTGTGCAAACAGCCACAGAGCAAGAGAAAGAAAGAGTGGGAGAGAGGGGGCGTGGGAGTGGAACTGGGAGTAGAGTGGGAGGGAGGGTAAGCGCAAGAACATGCTTTCACTTTCTGCTGTTTGAGTTTATTTTGCGCCAAATTGAATTTTGACTGCCGTTTGCCGACTTTAAATGTGCCAAACGTGACGTTTTCAGTTTTAGCCAACATGACATACATACAGAGCAGATTTGATTTTATGTTTGCGCCTAATACCCTGCATTAAAGTGAATATGTATTAAGAAGAGTCTCAAGAGACTGCTCAGACATTGCATAGCATTGTCATTCAGCATTGTCAACTAATGGATGGAGAGGTAATCAAATGCAGGTATATCGTATCTTTTCATATTTTCATAAAATGCCCATTATAATCTAGCATTGAATATCTTGCAGAGTGCATTCAATATTTATACTATTTTACACGGCATTAGCTAGCCGTACATTTGACTCTTGAGGTTTCTTAATTATTTAACCATTTTCAATGATTTATCAACATGAAATTGCAGACAAAAACTAAGAAATCGATCAAGTTGAAGTGATTTTGATTGAAATCTGATTGAATTTAATGCCAACAGCAGAGCTGAACTAATTGCTAATGCATATGGTGAGGCAAATGCAGATGCGGCTCCTGCTGCTGCGACTCCTGCTGCTGCGACTCCTGCTGCTGCGACTCCTGCTGCTGTAGCTGGTGTTTCTGATGCTGCAAGTCTCGCTTAAAATATTTATATTTATATTTATATAGTGGGGGCCACATGTCGTATGCGCTATTTGCGCCCTCGTATGCTGTCCACAGTGTTTGTTAACCAGTCACTATGTACGTGTATGTGTGTGTGTGGGTGTGAGTGTGGGCGTGTTTCGGTATGTGTATAATAAACAATAACCAGGAAGACAACAGCAGCGCTGGATTTATGTTGTCGTTTGAACGCTGCCACAACACTCACACTCACACTCACACACACACACACATCTCTACTGCCACGCTCCCTCCATTTGCGCCATATGCTATATAAATATATATACAGGCAGCAGGCAGCAGATGCTGCCGCCCGTTGTGGCCATCTGACCGCAACAAAGAGTTAGCTACCACACACACACACACATACACACTCACACATTATATATGTTTTTATATTTATAAATATTCTCACACACACACAGGAATAAATATGCATGGCATAGAAAGAAAGTGTTGCATATTTTTTAGCGCATTTCGCAACACCTTTGGGGCATGCAACCAACTTTGCAGCTCATAAAGTTATAATTAAGCTGGCCCTAGGCAGAGCTCAGACAAAGGCCAAACGCATGAATTGAGCAGGTCAAAGGGCGCCGAGTGCTGGCAGATTCTCCCTTATTAATTATAAACTAAAAAGTGAGCAAAAATAATTCAAATTTCGCACAGCGAGTGAAAAGTGCATTGTGAATATTTTGATATTACTTTGGTTTGGTAAATGGCCAAAAGAGCAAAAGAACATTTTCTGTGGCTCTCATGTTTCTTTGAAAGTTAATCTAAAATACATCCTAAGCACATTTAAATTAATTAAGAGAAATAGTGAACATTCTCAAACGTTAGGTATATATCGATTTCCAGAGCTGGGGCAGATTCAATCCTTCAAATCAATAAACTTGAACTGCAACGGAATGCGTGGCGTAGCCAGCTGGTAGGCAATGAAGGGCTTTTCCGCCGGATGGTGGAACTCCACTTGGAAGTTCCTAAGCAAACGAGCGACCCCAATTTCCAGCTCCATTTCGGCTATGCGACGACCGATGCAACTGCGCACGCCAAAGCCAAACGGCAAATAGGCAAAGGGATGACTCGGCTTGGTGGCCACCGGGCAGCCGGAGTCAGAGCTGGAGCCTTGTTGCTTTTCACGCAGCCAGCGCTCCGGCACGAATTCGCCGGGCTGCGAGAAATGTTTACCGTCGCGCCAAAGGTTCAAATGGATCATGGCTACCTCGCAGCCCGCCGGCACGTGGTAACCGCTGAGCACCAGCTCCTGGTTGGTTTTGCGTATGTTGCCCGAGATGAGTGGATAGAAGCGTAGGGCCTCCTTGATGCAGGCACGCAGATAGGGCAAGTTCCTCATCAAATCGACTGTGAGGGGCGTGCTTTTCTCTGGCAAGATGCCAAGAATTTCAGCTCGCAGTTTGGCCTGCTTATCGGGATGCTGGGCGAGGGCTAGCAGAATGGCCGAAAAAGTGCTGGTTGTCTGCAATTAAAGGCCTAGTCTTAGTTAAATGGATTGAATGATAGAGGCATTTACATACGTACCGTATCCACGCCAGCGAAGAGCATGTCCAGCGCAATAATAACAGCATATTTTCGATTTATGGCTAGCAGCTTTTCCAAAACACTTTTCTCTTCTTGGCTCTTGGCCGTTGTGGAGTTCTCGATGCGTTCCATGGCGTCCTGCACTAGTTTATCAGTTAGGACAAGCGACTCATCTAACACGCTGAGAGCTTCACGCAATTTGGGGGAACTGAACTTGAGCTGGCGCCAGAGTGAGGGCTTTATTTCCAGATCAACGGAGAGTTCAAAGAAACGCTGCAATTGGTGAAAGAAGTGTCTGCCTACAGGATTGGTATTGTCGATAACCCCCAACTTGCAATCCAGGGCTATTTGACCCACAGATTCCAGAGTCCAGGCGCTAATTTCATCCTTGAAGTTTGCGGGGACCTCCAAAGTTTCAGCATCACGGATTGTTTTAATGCTAAAAGCAAGAAGAGAATTTATGTATTGATTGATTGACAATTCGCTATTAATAGAATTAAGATTTTATGAAGCTTATTAACCATACCGTTCTATAAATTCCTGATTAATGCGATCCAATGAGTTCAAATACTTTTTGACATTCTTGGGATGTATTATAATGGGATTTACAGCCGAACGCAAATTTCCCCACGCCTCGTCTTGGGTCGTAAGTAGACCCGACTCTGGTCCAAAATAGTCACGACGGTGAACATTGCGATAATAGTTTAAGAGCTCGAAACCCTTACGATTGGGCCAAACCCCATCGTGTCGGAAAACCGTTTCGAAGTCATCTGGGTTTTCTGTTACAACTATCGGCGGTTTGCCCAAAAAGCTTTTGATCTTTATAATATTACCGCCACTCTCCTTTAGTAAGTCCCTAGTTATATCATTGAGATCGGCTCCACTGTATTTGCCGCCAGGCATAAAGTTCCACAATGTTTTCAGCACGCTGGTAGTCGGCATCTCTTGAAACGGCTTCGCTGACGGCACTCCGCCGTAGTGACGCTTTAAAAGAAAGCAAAAAATTATTAATACCTACAAAATCATAAATTGTTTCTATCCACATGCGCAGTGCTGTGCACATACATACCTGCTGCCATTGCTGCGATACTGTTACGGCGCTGACATGTTTTGTTGTTGCTTGCAAACATTTTATAACAGAATTACTAGCGTGCACTTTAAGCTGCGTCATTTCGCTTGTTGCCGTCGCGTATTATCCGATCTCTTTTTCTCTCTCTTGCTTGTAGTTGTTGCTTTCGTTTTAAACGGCGCTGCGCAGCTTTAATAGCAGAGAGCTTTTAGGCAAGTCGCCGCGTTAGCTGTTCGCCGCATACTGAATTCGCTTTATCATTGACCCCACAAATATGTACATACTTTTATAAATGTTGCAAAGAGAGGAACTTTAATTCAAATGTTTGACAGCATTGCTTGTGCTCTCTCTTCTGCTCGCCGGCATGTTGTTATTCTTGTTTGCGCGAGGCTTTTAATTCTAGTTTCGGGCAAATTACGACAAGAGATAATTGGTTGTTATATAATGAATTAACACTAAGTTCTTATCTCTCTTTTTCACTCACCTTTTCGCCATAATTTCTGGAGCAGCAAAGGAATGCATAGCGTTGGCTCATAGATAATGAGTTTTTTTCACAAGACGATGGACGCAAATAGGCAAATTCAGTGATCTTCTCTGGCAAAGTATTCGCAGTTTGTTCACCTCCATAATTGAGCTACATATGAAATTATAGTATTGCATAAATAAAGATAAACATGTTATATTATTATGAGCCGTGGTGAATACGACTGCATTACACATGCCTGCTACATTTGCTGTGTTGCTGTTATAGTGCCAAGTTTGCTGTTGCTTGTAAACTTTTTATAACGCCATTGCTATCGAATAATTGCAGCTGCGTCACTGTGAGTTGGTTTTTGTTTTCGTTGTGTCTCGCTCACACGCCTTGCGCGCTTCACTCGTTCACTGCTTTTTACTCAGTTTTGTTTACACTTGCTTTCTTGAGACAGTTGACAGTTAAGTTAAGTTAAGTTTGGGATTTTGGGATACTCGCCGTGTCAGTTGCTCGCCGCATACTGAATTCGCTTTGGCACTGACCTCTCAAATATATATATTGAGCACGAGAGTCGTAATAGTCGTGACAGCTGCTGGTTATCGCTCTCTCATCGTTTTATGCGACAGTTTGCTAAAATTGCTCTAAAATTGAAAGATTCTTTCTGTTAAGCGCTCTTTCTTAACAGCTCTCTTATGATCATTCACAGTCGGAATCATGTTTCGAATCTTTATGTACGTCTGTTACCATGGCAATGTGAAGTCATATTTTGAATAATTTGTAGCGCATGTTGATCTTGATTTAAAACAGAAGCGATATTGATTATGTTAACGGTCTTAAAGCCACTAAACGAATGATGCGACTCATTTATTTATTATTATTATTATTAATGAGTGCATTATTATTTGAGATGGATCTTAAACTGGTTTATATTGTTACTTTAACTTAACTTTTTACAGTTTTATTTCTGACAGAGCGGTATAAACTGGCTAAACTTCCATTTCACTTGCCTATCAATGTGGATTTTTGCACTCAAATAAAAAATGTTGCTCACTTGTCAACATTTTGCATTTTTAAAATAATGATTTCCCATAGCAAATAAAATCAGAAAATCTCTGCTTGAAAATTATTTGCACAAGTGCAGCAACAACAAATCATGACAAGGATGAATACGTATTGTTGAAGTAGTTGACTAGAAAATACCCTGTATTTAGATATATATTGGGTAGTCTAAAAAGTTTTTTCGTATTTTGCCAATAGATGTCGTTGGCGTCGTATATCTCCAGTGCTACCAATCACATTGTGTACACATTGTGGTGTTCGATTGGTAGCACTTTAAGCTTCGATTGCCAAAAAAAAAAAATGTAATTCAAAGAATTTGAAAAAAGTTACAGCTGTTCAAAAATGAGTGAAAATAAAGAAGAAATTCGCTATATTTTGAAATTTTTGTATAAAAAAGGGAAGAATGCCACGCAAGCCACTAATGAAATTTGTGATGTTTACGGTGACGATGCTCTATCAGTTCGTGTAGCACAACAATGGTTCGCACGCTTCCGTTCAGGAAATTTCGATGTGAAAGATGCACCTCGCTCTGGTCGACCAATCTTTGAAAAAGTCGATGAAATTATGGAAAGGATTGACCAAGACCGTCACATAAGCAGCCATGACATCGCAAATGAACTAAACATTCATCATCAAACGGTTCTGAACCATTTAGAAAAGGCTGGCTACAAAAAAAGCTCGATGTATGGATACCACATGAATTGTCTGTGAAAAATTTATTGGACAGAATTAACATTTGCGATTCTTTGCTGAAACGAAATGAAATCGAACCATTTCTGAAGAGAATGGTAACAGGAGACGAAAAATGGATCAAATACGACAATAATGTGCGAAAAAGATCATGGTGCAAGAGTGGTGAAGCTCAACAAATGGTCGCAAAGCCAGGATTGACGGCTCGAAAGGTAATGCTGTGTGTTTGGTGGGATTGGAAAGGAATAATCCACTATGAGCTGCTTCAGCCTGGTCAAACGATTGATTCGACACTTTACTGTGGACAACTGATGAGATTGAAGCAAGCAATCGAAAAAAACGGCCAGAACTGATCAACAGAAAGGGCATCGTATTCCATCAGGACAACGCCAGACCACACACATCTTTGATGACCCGGCAAACACTGAGAGAGCTTGGCTGGGAAGTTTTAATGCATCCACCATATAGCCCTGACCTTGCACCTTCGGACTACCATTTATTTCGGTCAATGCAGAACTCCCTTAACGGAGTAAAGTTGGCTTCAAGAGAAGCCTGTGAAAATCACTTGAAGCAGTTTTTCAAAGAGAAACCACGAAAGTTTTACACGAATGGAATTATGTCTCTAGTGGAAAAATGGCAAAAGGTGGTCGACCAAAATGGTGCATATTTGATTTAATAAAGTTTATTATAAATATTTAAAAATATGATTTGAAGTTTCATTACAAATACGAAAAGACTTTTTAGACTACCCAATATTATATTATTATATACTATTAATTAAATATTTGTATATTCAAATTTAGGTATTTTCTTACATACATGTATTACTATTATGATACAATTTTGCATTATTTTTATTGAAATATATATAGATATAAATAAATATTCATTCTAATTATTGAGAAAAATTAGAAATATTTATGTACCTTCTCGCTGATTGATTACAAATTCGTGATTTGTTGTTTAGTTTAAGCAACTTTTCAGCTTAGTTTCTTTTTCCACTAATTCATAATAATTATTGTATTGGGTGAGTAGGGTACTTGCACCTTCCAGAGTCTATTATCCTTTAAAGTATACACGTATCGAGGAACAGAAGTGGATCAATAATAAATAATGTTATTAGAAAATCTCTATGAAGGTATATGTACCACAATGTATTAACACTCTAGCTCTTATATGTAAAGGATATAATTATGTATTGTAAGGCGGTTCACCGATCGCCGCAATAATCATAGTTTGTAGTATTTAAGCAGTAGTAATAGTTTGTAGAATGTAAGTAGTAGTAAGCAGTCTTAATTATAGAATTTGAATTTTGATTTGAAAAGGGCGCCAAAGCGCGCTTAGGATATCGGCGATCGGCCGCGCAACCCTGCGTCGAGAGCGCATGAGTAGAGAGTTACGTTGCCGACGCCGAGTGGAATTGAGCGTTTTTTAGTTTTTTAGAGAGTGAGAGAGCGTGGTAGCGGTCGGACGCATGGCGGAGACCGGTCGTAGACAGACAAGCAGCCAAGAGGATAAAAGAAACGGAAAATTGTCGAAGTTTGAAGTTTGTGAAATGGTTAATAAAGAAGAGTTAATAAGAAAAGTCGGCGAATTCGCGAATATTCCAGAGCTCGAATATCCCAAAAACGCGCCGAAATATAGCGTCGGTTAGCCGGTATCAACGGTACACATGCAAAGATGATTATCTTGCCTTTGCAAGTTAATACAAAATTAGTTTTATATATTGTGAACGTAGTGTTCATTTTTTAAAGTCCCAATTCGAGCTGGCTACAAAATTGATCTTATACTGCAAGTCAGCTAATGTTTATGCTAAAGCTTCCCTAAATAAAACTCAAAACTCAAAAGCTCACAAGATTGGTTTACGTGATTCTATATCGGAATTGTGAAATTAAGAATTGTTTACATTAAAGCCTAGCTTTCTCAATGAGCTCATGGACACTGCGCAGGGAAATCTTTTGTTTATATTGAAGTTAAAACTGCTTACCCTGTGGGAATAGTGCAAGAAATATTTATGTCTGAGCTGAGTTTGCGTGATAATATAGCTTTGGAAGTTGTTTACATTTATCATAAGATTTGCTTGAGATCGTCTCTGACTCTTAACGATTTCACATAAGAAGTTCGATTTGACTGTTTATAGTATTTAGCATATCAGAGCTTTGAATATTTTGATCATTTAACGGGTTTGAAAATAAAAATTTAATAGGATTAAAATTGTGCTTTGAACAAAATTTAGAAGCTTTATACCTCATTTTTATACCTTGAACCCATTTCACAATAGGAAATCAGGGTATAATGGCTTTGTTAAATGTATGTAACAGGCAGAAGGAGGCGTGGCACACCACAAAGTGTATATATTCTTGATCAGGGGGACGAGCTGAGTCGATTTAGCCCTGCCCGTCTGTCCGTATGTTCGAACGCGTCGATCTCAGAAGATATAAGAGCTAGAGACTTGAATAGCACGCACATATCGAATTTTGCTTTAAATATCGATAACTTGACCCGTTATTTTGTTATCGATTAAAAACATTATCGAAAACCAGTAATAAATTTATATCTGTTACATCTTTAAAGCTAGATTCTCCAAATTTTGTATGTATACTTATATGCATTTTATACAATTTCGATTTTTGTCAAAATTTACCCCCCACCTCTAATTCACCCCTCACCCTCACTTTTATAAAAGGCATGCTTCAAATACTAGGGACTTGTGCTTTGGCATGCACATCTATGTTATATTCATAATCTGAAAGTTTCATGAAGATAGTCCATCCACAAAAAAAGTTATTAAACATATTATCCCATAGTAACCCAACACTGCATCCAATGCGTGTTTCTGCGTGCGTACGTTTGTCTGTGTGTGCATATGCGAATAATTATTGAAATATCAGTTGCTCGAAGAGTTCAGGGGATCTCGTAGTCGAGCAGTCTCGACTAGAGCTTTCTTACTTGTTTTTATTGCAGATTTCGCAATGTCGTATGTGTTGTTTTAGAGTTTTGTATAGCTTTGGCCAAAAATAATATTTGAGAATTTGTTTAAGATTTTCATCGAAACCTCTATGTGCGCGAGCATGTGTTTCCTCTATCATAATTTCTTGGTCGTTTTTGTTTTCGATATCTAAGACGAATTTTCTGGCAAATAAAATTTTATTTGTAAAGGTGGTTTTAAACGTATTTTGAATTTCTTATAGGTCTTCAATACTGCAAAGGATTCCTGTAGTTATATTTGGCTATAGGAATTCTTTAAGTATTTTAATTAAGTTATCTAGTGTATCGTATTCTATAATGTCTTATTTTATTGAAAGGGTTATATTTATCATGGATAGTAAAATAATTTTTTGAAATGAGTAGTTGCTGCTCAAATTGGTTCGGTGATTTTCTGGTTTCTTCTAATATGTAATCATGCCTGCTG